CGTGCCATCGGGAAATTCCGAAGAAAGCATGACAAGAATAAAACCCCTAACAAAACTGACATTAAACCGATGGATCAAGACGTTTCAGGCTACCGGATCAATCACCAACATGAAAAAAGTCTCAAGCAGTCAAAGCTGACAGAAAATCTACTGTAAGGTTCCCTGAAAACATAGCAGCTCTCCGAGATTCAGTAGGTAGGAGTCCGAAGAAATTCGCCCGTAGAAGGTGCTAGGACGTTGGCCTCACCAAATCCTCCCATGAGCCGTGACAGAGGTGCAACCAGGGTTCAGAGGAGGGCATCAGTGGTAGCAGATATCTCACTGGAATAGCTAGACCAGAATTTCCCAACTGACTCATCAGCCGTAAACGCGAACCTGAATAGTTTCCGCATTCTCACGACCTCAACCCTCCATCCCGATTTTTATCTGTGGGAGTATCTGAAAGGTCGAGTATACAGGAACAACCCCTACACTCACAGCTAAAGGCAGCAATCACTCAAGAAATCAGAGCTATACCAAAAGAAAAAGTGCATTAAAGTCTTCGCCCATAGAATTCAAGTGTGTGTTCAGCAGAACGGAGAACATTTGGACCATATTCTGTAAAATATTTGCCAGTAGAGTTAGTAACATTTTATTTGTAGCAGTAGATTTGCTAACTTTTCAAAAATATATGATTTGTATATAGTTTGTAAACAGAAAATAAATGGCGTTCGCATTATTGGGTTACATTTATTCTCGGACACCCTATATAACACCTGAACAAATAAATGATTTTATATTGCCATGTATCAATATTATTCCACAATGGAGAAGTTTCAGTTAAAAAATCCCAAAAGCCAACTTCGATGTACTACAGGGTTCATTGGATGGAGCTCAGGTTTCAGAATTGATACGCTTATATATATTTTATATAAAATCAACAAAATAGTACACAGACAACCACGGACTATAATGATGATGGGCTGGTGATAAAAAAGATGTTCTTCAAATTCTTCAAAAGCCTCAATTTCGAGAGAGAGGTTGATATGAATAAGGAGTTTATCCAAAATTTGGATGTAGAATTAAACCTGCAAACTGGTAGTGTCTCTCCATACATGAAACCCAACACAAACTTAACATACTTAAATGCTGCATCCTCCAACTATAATAAATCACACTAGAGTCCAGATTATCTTGAGTATCTGTGGGGGGGGGTATCTGAAGGATCGAGTCTATAAGAACCATCCCAACACCATCTCACAGCTAAAGGCAGCAATCAACCAGGAAATCATAGCTATACCAAAAGAAGAGGGCATCAAAGTCATCGACAACTTCACCCGTAGAATTTAAGTGTCTTCAGCAGAACGGGGCACATTTGGGGCATATTCTATAAATGACGATAAAATCTTTGCCAGTAGAGCTAATGACATGTAGTTTGGAGCAGTAGCTTTGCTAACTTCTCAGGTTTTCAGAAATATATGGGTTATATATAGTTTATAAACAGAAAATAAATGGTGTTCACATTCTTGGGTTACATTTATTCTAGGGCACACTGTATTTTTCTGAAACTTTATTTGCGGAATATAAGCTGATTTAAAGTATAATTAATCTGATTTGAAATCAATATACTTTAAATTTAAAATATTGCAGAAATGCATTTTATTTAACACTGAGGTAGTTTTTTTTTAAAGGTGACTGACAGATGGAAGTTTATCTAATTTCTTTCTATAAGGAACAAAAAAATTACGTGCGGAATATAACGTGAGCGCCTTTTTTATACAATTTGGAGCATATTTCATAAATGACGATATAATCTTTTCCAGGAGAGCTAGTGACATGCTGTTTGTAGCAGAAGATTTGCTAACGTCTCTAGTTTTCGAAAATATATCGTTTGTATATAGTTTGTAACCAGAAAATAAATGGCGTTCACATTCTTGGGTTACATTTATTCTGGGACACCCTGTAGTTCAATTTAGCATAACTAAGAGAAGAGGACACAAGAAATTCTACACAAACATACCGAGAATACAAAAACTTGCGGATTGGATACACAAGAACGACACATTCTTTCCTGCTAAGGAAGTTCGACCATTGCGCCTAGCATATAAAACAATATTATCCATTAAGCATATTTTGACAGAGTGTCCAGAACTAGTTATCTCAAGACAGCAATTTTACAATACTGATAGCATGTTTGAGCTTTTTGAGAAGGTGAATGTGGGTGATATGCTGTCATTTCTAAAAGTGTTTGTCGGCCTCTACAAGAAAATCTAAAACAGGAGAGGATAACGATAAAACAAAGTTTACAAAAAAATCTATGAAGACCATGTTAAGGTCCCAGCTATGGGTAAATAGTTAACCCCAAACTGGGGTCACAACGCTATGAAAGTGTAAAAATAGGTTTTAATACCAGAAATACTATTACCAGCAATACATTTTTGGGAAAAAAAAAAGAAGATATTATGAGTAATACGTTTTTGAAAAAAAAGGTATTACCAGCAATATATTTTTGAAAAACAAA